GGAAAATAATTTAGGAATGTAGTACTCATGTTTATCTACCAGTTTTGTATTTATTTTTTTTTTTTGTCGATCTCCGTTAGTATAGGAGATATGGACCACCACGCGCTTAGTAACTCACCCTGTATATGACTACAAGGGAATACATAGGAATACATGCGAATTTTAGTAGCTATAATAAAAATATTGGCTATTAGGTTTAGCAAATGAAAAATGTCAATCGTTTGGTTAGTTTTATTATACATCAAATTATATTACACTACTACTTTTAAGTCTAGGTTTTTTGGTGTGGCTAGCCAGACTGGATTTAGACACGAGTTCTATTGCTGAAATAAAATCTTCAGAGTCTGTCTGTACTTACTCTACACGATGACTCATTCAGAAGCCAACTTTTTAATTATACTTAACATATTTTTCCTTTAGCTTTACCCATAACATAAGGTTTTTCTGTCGTATTGACTTCAGTGAATGTATTGAAGAAATTTTTCAAATCCAATGAGTATATTTCCTCTTCAGATGGAATAATATTTCCTCTCGTGTTTCCTTGATCCCTAGTACCATCAGTAAGGTTTTCAAGTTCGCCTATTTCAATTTCATCAAAATCTACATATTATGATTTACTCTGTGTCTAGAATCCCGGTACCGGTAACATATTTTTTACCGGTAGTTTTGATGCTACCCGGGATTCAAGTAAATCCCGGTAAAAAATGTAGTCGTTGGCGGTTTCTGTTTTATCAAAGTCCAACTTAACCTAATTTTTTATGTTTTTAACTTGTTTTGTTAACGTGTGAACGTAAAGTGGAGTGTTTTCGTGAATTTATTAACGTGAAATTACTTTTAAAATGGTTTTTAATGTAGGACAAACATTTAAAAGTTATAAAGAAGTTGAAGAGACTTTGACATGTGAAATGTGCCAGTTTGTGTAAAATACCCAAAATGTGGTATTGTTCTGATTGCTAACTTATAAATAGAAAATGAAAGATATTTATTTTAATTTACATTCTGAACAGTATAGTTATATGTATACAGGGTGTCCCACGAGGTTTTTCCCGAATGATAACTCCAGAACGCATCCTCGTATATGTTCCACCGTATAATTTTTTTATCATTTTCTTTAACAAAGCCTTAACAAATATGGCATTGCCGATTTTGTAATTTAATTTTCTAACGAAAAATGCCATAATATACCATGAGTTACATTTAAGATTCGAAAGTTGACGTCACTTGATCGAAATTCAAGCGAAAGTGGTGAAATTGGATGACATTGGTAAAAGCGGCACAAAAATTTACCCAGATCCTCAAAATTTCAATTATATTGGATCACGCGTTCCGAAGTTATTACCTGGGATAAACGTCGTGGGACACCCTGTATATTGACTCGAAGTAAATTAAATATTAAATTCGATTATAAACTGCTATATTATAAAATGACATTATTTTAAATTTGTTTAAATTCTCAGGAATCTCAGGGGTTTTCGGAAATATAACAACCTCAGATAACAACCCTAGTTTACTATCATCTGATTGCAGATTACTTCTAATCTGGGATGAGTTGTTCGACATTTCGGAACGCAAATCATTTATATAAGGAATTTCGAACCTAAACTAACTTTTAGTTTGAAATGTTTCAAAAAAGTGACGAAAACATATGATAAACTAACCTAAAATACCATAAATAATGATAAAAACAAAATCAAAACACCGGGATTCACTTAAATCCCGGTACAAGTGCGTCATATCGATGACGTCATCAAAACTACCGGTAAAAAATGTGTTACCGGTACCGGGATTCTAGACACAGCGTATGATTTATCATCTATGTCTTGGTGTATTATTAGTAGCAAATCTAAATTAATGCAGTCACTTTTATCAGCAGTAATTCCTAATATTACAATATCATTGAGAATGTCATTTAGAGCTGCATTTACACATGATTCTAAAATTCTAAGTTTATGGACAAGAGAATATACATACAAGAGAAGGCAGGATGGAGAAGGAAATAAAGGCAGTTGGAGATTTTATAAAGTCGGACCCTAATACACCTCTCGCGGATATTAAAACACTTCGGCTTGGCCAATTCAAACCAGGAAAAGTTAGGCCAGTCAAAGTGATTTCAACACGGAAGGAGATGCGTTATCCGTCCTCAGATTCAAGAGTAAACTGGATGGAACAGGGAAATATTTAAAATACATATGACAAAACTAAAGCACAAAGAGCCTACTTGAGCAAGGTTATACGAGAGGTTGAGGAGAGAACAGTAAAGGGTGAGATAAATATCAAATCAAATATCATAATGGGACCCCAAAGATCGTCAAATCCAGAGAGGCCATGGTAAATGCTGAAGGCAGCCAACAGCGGCCAAAAAACTCCCAATAATGTCTGAAGTTATATTCTACTATACAAATGCCAACTCAATAAGAAAATCCATGAATTTCAGACAGATGTCCTCAGAAAGAATCCAACTTTCATTCTGGTTACCGAGACATGGTTTCACAAAGGAATCCCAAACTCACTCATATGCCTACCTGAATATCATATGTTCAGGGATAAATGTGAGGATCAACGAGGAGGAGGAGTCTGCATCTGGATAAAAACTGAAATCAACGGGCAAAAAATTTTCGCGAGTATAAACCACAAAAATAGGGCTCCCACAGACAATATCAAAATATCCGAAACCTATATCCCACTCAAACCTAAGCTTGTGAATCATAAAAAACCATGGTTAAATAATGCAATATTTAGAGTAATCGAGAGAAAACGGACACTTTGGAACAAAACAGCAGATAATTACAATTTGTATAGAACTCAAAATCAGCTTAAAGAATACAATCAGGGCAGAATATGCAAATGGTCTCTTGGACAACAGAGTTGAGAAACAATTTTACACATATGTTAAGCAAACATCACAACAGCAACGCATCTGAGCTTGTGCTCAGAGAACTAATCACCGGAGAGATTATCTCTGATCCTCAGAAGACAGCTAATACATTCGCGGATCACTTTGTGAAGGTATACACCAGAGAAAACCTAGTAAATTTTCTATCGCTATTGAAAAGAGAATCAAGTCCAGGCCCCGGTGAAATACCGGCCATATTTTTAATAATGTGCCGGAGGACATTGGCTCCAGTGATAACTGGCCTCTTGCCGACACTAATCACTCAGCAAACTGGTGCCACAGGGATGTTCTCGAGCATACATAGTGCCAATCTACAAAAAAGGAGACAAGCTCATCCCTGGAAATTACAGACCAATTACCTTACCTGTAATCTCTGCAAGATCATGGAAAAAATAATAGTTCAGGAAATTACATCTTTCCTTGTGGAAAACAAGACCATCCCACCCACCCAACATGGATTTCTTCCTCAACAATCTACCACAACCAACCTACTCACCTGCATAAACTCATGGACGAAAGAAGTGGACAGTGGCCATCCAGTGGATGTACTGTACCAAGACCGAGACCAAGACTATGAGAAGGCATTTGACAAAGTGGAATTCAAGAGTTTATTATTCAAAATGCAACACTTTGGAATCAGGGGTGAGCTCCTCGGATGGATAGGCAGTTTTCTACAAAACCGCACCTTTCAAGTGACAGCAAATGGGCATTACTCTGATGAATATGAGGTCCTAGTAGGGTGCCATAGGGATCGGTGTTGAGGCCACTGCTGTTTACCGTATTCATCAGCGATCTTCATTTTCTTATAAAGACAAACATAATTTTTTATGCTGATGACACAAAAATATACTGCAATCCGTGCTTGGAGCATCACAACCTTTAAGACGACCTGAAAACACTCGAGAAATGAATCAGCAAATTGCAGCTAACACTCAACCGGGACAAGTGCACTGTACTGTATTGGCCCTAACTAACATGTCAAACATACCTCACAGCTTAAACGGCACTATTGCTGTCACTGAGCAGAAAGATCTGCGTGTCATTATCTCAAATCATTTAAAATGGGAAGTCCATATTTCTTCAGTTGTCAAGAAGACAAACTCTTTTGTATACCTCATACAGAAAGCTTTTAGTGACAGATCCATCCCCATGATTAGCAAAATATATAAAACATATATCAGACCTAAATTGGAGTTCGCACATTCGGTTTGGGGCCCATACCTTGTTAAGGACATTGAGATCTTGGAAAGAGTCCAGCGTAGAGTGACAAAACTCCCACCTGAAATCAGAAATCTCTCATACGATTCATACGAAGAAAAACTACTAAGATACGACGCACCCTTAAAGCTAGACGAGGGAGAGGGGACTTGATTGAGACGTGCAAAATCCTAAATCACCATTATTCTCCAGATTTGCAACTGGACATTTTCAGTCTAAATACTAACCAGCAACTCCAAGACCACACTAAGAAGCTGGTTAAGGAGAGATGCTCGAACCTGATCAGAAAGAATTTTCTGACGAATAGGGTTGTCCATCAGTGGATCGCCCTTCAGGAAAGCACAGTCAGTGTTCTTTCAAAGAACACATTCAAAAACAGACTTGACTGGAACCTGGAGAGAGCTAGACTGAATTTTGTGCATTACATGTAACTCATAACAGTGAAAAGAGGGATATAAAACAATACAGCAGTAGTCTCATCGATGTTGTGGCTTACTGCTGCTCAAACCTATAATAATAATAATAATAATAATAATAATAATAATAATAAAAATTTCTTCTGAGGTTACAATAGCGGGTTGGCCATTCTGAACAATTTTTTGCAAGGCTGACTGCCTATGTTTGGCATATGGAGTTTATGGGCTCTGGAACTGAAACGTTCAAAAATCATTTGGGAAAATCACTTTTAATATAGCCACAAAAATGTATTTTTAAAAATAAGTTTATTCTCTAAACTTTGAATTATTATTTTTTTATGGGCATTACCTACCTACTCGTTTTGCGTAAATATAAACAAGTCGAATGGTACAAAAAAAAAGTATTAATAATTTAGCTTTTGGGCAACTGTTGTTGTAATGATCGGGCGGTTATATATAAATTTGTTGGGTAGGGTTGGAGATAATGCCCAATGGCATAACGCTGCTGACCGACTACTCGGGGCGCAGCTCAGGGGAGGCCTACGTACAGTTTGCGAACAGGGACGTGGCGGAACGGGCTCTGCTGAAACACAGGGAAAAAATTGGACACAGGTGGGGTAAGGGCATAGACATAGAGAGAGATTATAATAGGCTAAACATGAGCAATTTACAAGCATGGTTGTAATTTTCCTTTCTAAATCATAGTTTTTGGATTTTTATTGTTTCAAATTAGGGCAAATTAATATTAAATGAGAATGAGCAGCCATGCTACTCTCTTTGTGTCTATGGTTAAGGGACGGGGGTGTGGGCGGGGGGCGACCCATGGCACGCTCTCTCCACAATACCTATGGTATAATTTAGCTTAAGATTTTTTTTTTCCAAATATTTATAACAATGAACTAATAAATATTTTTTATTTTTGAAAAGTTTAAAGTCATTATCATTATGGATGGAAAGTGAAATATGTATTAGTTCAAAAATACTCTCCCTGAAAATGGCAATGGTCTATGAATTATTTATCAGGTTTAATAATTGGTAGATTATTGAACTATCACTTCACAGTTTTTTTTTTTTAGTTTGAAATTGAGCACTCCATCAAATCACAAAGACTTATATTTATTTCTAATATTTCAACATTGCGAACAATTTACTGTCTGTCAGAAAAGTATTTGGCAAAATATGAAGACGATATTTTCATGTTGACTCAATATTGCCTAGTACTGATTGGATTTGCCTCGTTATCCTCACGTTAAATTGAATCATTTATTAGAGATGTTATAGATATGGGCGAATTTCTATATATGGAATAGTAATACATTATTTAATTTTGAAAAATTAGTTGTGAACATATCATTTTCAATAGATTGTCTCAAAATTCAGTCTCTTTACCTTCCTCTATCTACTCGTAAAAAGAAATGGCAAATTATTATCTGCTACCATACCAATAATGTACTAATTAGCACCACATAATGTATAGGGTCAAATTTAAACTTGAAGTCCTATCTGTCTTAAAACGTCAAATAAAAAAGTTAAATATTGGATTGGTCAAAATGTGGCCAATGACCCTGTACTTCCACATAAGTTCCGAATCCAGCTTACTTGTTGAGAAATTTAGTTCAACTTCTAAGTCATATAGGACTATAGCAAATATAATATCCCCAACATCTCTGATAACAAAAAAATAGTATGTATAAACTTATAAAAATTTAAAACAGGTACATAGAGATATTCCGCAGCAGTTCTTCTGAAGTGAACAGCGCTGTTGGTTTTGGCCCACGAGACGGTCCTCCATCGAGAGGTCCTCCTTTCGGGTCTCGTCCGGGACCTTATGATCGCGGAGATCGTTTCGGAAATAATAATGGAGGCGGTCGATTTCTGCAGCGAGGAAGCAGAAGCTTCAAAGGCGCTAATATGAGTAATAATATCTGTGCGTATTTTAGATTTATGGATATAGGAATGTTTTAATTGAAAATTGGGTCTTTCAGCACCGTGGGGAAATCAAAATGGAGGTCCGCCTAGATCTGGTATGGGAGGATCTAGAGGTCCTTTTGAATATGATTCATGGGACAATCGTACACCGTCTGTACAAAATCACTGCATTCACATGAGAGGATTGCCTTTCAAGGCTTCACAAGTCGATATAGCAGAGGTAGATTTTTTGTTAACAACATTTACAAAGTTTTTAAATATCCTTGTAGAAATTTCACACAAGCAAAATTCTTTCCTTAACATGGCAGAACGTAACACGTAACCAACATATCAAAATTGCCAGTAAATCACATTTGAATTTTTTCTGGGGAAAGTTTTCAGATATATACAAGTTGAAATGATGCATAGTTAAGTCTATATTATATGTTTCATTTATTTCAGTTCTTCAGGCCAATCATTCCGATAACAATTCACATACTATCGGAACCGTCAGGACGTCCATCCGGTGAAGCGGACGTGACATTCGCTTCTCATGAAGACGCAATCAGAGGTATGTCCAAAGACAAAAGTAACATGCAACACCGTTACATCGAGTTATTTTTGAATTCAACTCCTCCGCCGAGCGGACCAAATTCTGGCGGATTCGGCGGTGGCAATAGATTTAGACGCTAATTGACTTAAAACGACAGTCAGAAATTGTTGCACATTATTGAATAATGCAATTCATGCATTTACTTACATAATACTCTACTGTTGTTGTTTTTCTTATAATAACAAAAAACCAACAGTATTCTGACTGTTTCGCTATGAATTTATATTAATAATTGTATTTGTATATTTTAATGTCTAGATTTAATTATTGTCGTAATGATGGACTCGGTCCAAACATGTAATAGAAGTGTTTTACTTTTATTCTTATAACATAACATACCTAAATGGCCTCTTGAATAATAAAGGGTTTTGGTGCATTGTAATGTTGGAAAATTTATGTAATTCTATCTGCAGATTTTACATAAGTGGTGATTTTGTTGGTCAGTCAATAAAGTACATATTTTTTCATTAAATTGGCAGTTTTCTTTCATAATAAATTTGTCAAGTGTCTTCCAGAACATGTAAATTATGTATAATATGCAGCAAAGTTTAAAAACCAAATGACTTGTTTGGAATAATTTATTAATGACTAATAGAGGCATTTTCATCTATTTGCATATAAAAAAAAGTTACATTTATTTTAAAAATAAGTCTGTTTCAAAATGGAATACATTATTAAAAGCCCGACAATCTTAAAACACACTTGCGAAACTCTACTTAAAAGTTTAAATAAAAAAAATTTTTGTTAGCTTTTAAAACCACTAAATATCTAATAATATCACACAGATAATTAATTAATATAATTATTAATAATCTAGCTGGTATGCTTAAATATTCCATTGTCTGGAGACTTTGTATCATTTTGGACAGATATAGAATCAGATAATTCTGCTGACGAATCATGCTCTTCAATCGCTTCATTTTTCTTCTCGTAATTATCACTTTGAGATTGTTGCAGTCTCAAATTGTCAATGACGTCGAGCAAATTTTTCGAGTCCATTGCCAAAATATGAGCAGTGCTTAACATTCCTCTATAAAATATAAACAATAATTAATGCATCATTTTCAGGTGCCTCTAGGGCTTTTCTTTCATCTCCAAAAGCTAAAATTTCCAACAAAACAACCTACTTTCTATATTCAGCATCCAAAGTAGTTTTACTATATTGTTGGGCCAATTTCATAGCGCTGACTAGTTCACTCATATCTTTCGATAGTACTTTATGAGCCATTTCAACTTCTCTCAACATATTCGGAGGTAGACTGCTCACAATTTCATCCACACTGGTTAAAAGTAGTCTCAATTCCAAACCCACATTTTTTACTAACTCTAAGTACTGTTCAGAACGGGAATTTTGGACACCTTGCGACAATAGCATAATGGCTTTTACTACTTCAGTGGTGCATTTGTAGACTTTGTCGTTTTCACGTACAAGACTGATTGTATCCTGGAATAAAGTTGAAGGTATAGGACTTTTGCTACACAATTCTAAAATGGAAATTACCTTTTGTTCGCTTGTTCCAATCTGATTTTGTTCTAAACTGCTCATACTAGCTGAAGTAAGGACAGGAGAAGAGCTCTTACTTTTATTCAAAGATTCTGTACTATTTTGAATACTAGTAGCCATATTATCCGAATTTAATTCATCAACACCTGACACACTAAAAGAATTTAAACTCATACTATCCAATGCATCTACTGGAATTGAACTTAAGCGTTTTTCCTACAAAAAAATTAATTGAATCATTATTGCATAAATAAATTAATATTATTCTCACTAAATTAATTTCAGATTCGGCAAGCCATCTAGAGTCTTCATTACTTTCCAATTGTTGTTGGCGCAATTTTCTTTGCATAACATGTTCGGTGGGTAAATGAGATATTTCCCTTGTTTGATCCGAATTAAATTGGGTCGTGAGCTAAAATAGACATTTGTTGTAGAAATCCTATCTAAATTTTTATTAAGATTGTATTGAAAACAAGCATTGTTATTTATTTAAAAGTTCCACAAAAGGCAAAATAATAATCTTGAACAAATTTCATGCTACTCTAGCTAAAATTAAAAAAATATCAAGATTATATGTAGCGGGAGATACAGTGAGGCAGTTAGTGAAACTCTAATTCAATTTCCCAACGTTTCGTTGTTTATTCCAACTTTATGAAGGGTCTGTAAATGGATAAAAACACATCGATAAAATAAGTTAAATGAAATTACACAACAAAAAAAAAAAATAAAAAAAATAGAAATAGTATAATAATACATTAAAAAATCATTCAATCAAGAACAACATCAATTACATCAAAATTAACGTAAAATTACAGTTCAGATAATACATGAGAACCGAAGCAATAAGTGTCTATGTTGTTAATTTATTCAAACCCAATGGTAGGCGATTTTGACCCATAAAAACCATATGAATTATTATCAAGAACCACGATTTTAATTGTAATTCTTTTTTCTCACTCACCAATCTTAAAGTTACATGGGTGAAGTAGCCATTATAGCATTATAGAACATATAATACATTAGTGAATTGTAATATGGAACACATATGATTAATAACATCACACACAAAGTCAATATACAAAATATAATATGTCCACTGTAACAATTCAAGATGTACCTATTCTTTACAAACGGATCAACATCCATTCACTAATGAGATTGTGGCAATAGGACGAGAGTTCAGGATGTCTGTATTGAATGTGGAAATTAAGATTACATTATGGAAGCTTGGACTGCTTGAGGAACAGTTCAGGTACTATTGCTGCCAGAGCTAAACAGTTGGTGAACGCTGTGACCTATGAATTGTTCGTATCAGAGAATAAGAAAGCATATAGTAGACAATTTAATAAGATAAAACAGATGTCAAAACACATTCCAAGTATTACCCAAGAACGGGGATAAGTTCCTTTATAATTTTACGTACATTATTATCCCAGAAGAGGCTCACAAAATTTTAGCGTTAGGGCCGAATTTTAGTATTCCATTACGTAAAGAAGAAATTCCGATACCAACAATTATAAGAGATGTGGAATATTGCATAATGTCTTTAACCAACGATGTGGATGCTCACAATAACCTTCGAGCGTCAACTACGAATGTCATATCCAATTTTTACAACAACCCAGTCTTCAATAGTACAATACACTAATTAAATACTTTCAACATACCAAGAGGTTCCTAAGAGACCATCCGGAAATAAGGGTAACTCGACAGTTCTGAATTCAGATGAATATAACACTGCTATATCTCTATTGCTAGCGGACACTACTACTTATAGGATGATAAAAAAAGATCGGACACAAATGTTTCAGAGAAAGGCTAATGAATTTATAGGTGAGCTGAGTGAACTGGGGTTGTTGAGTGCGGAACAGAGTAAAAATTAAAGAAACATAACGCTGTTCCACCTCGCCTTCATGGTCCAAGGAAAACGTGTAAACAAGGGGTAATGTTGCGTCCTGTTGTTAGTTGTATAAATTCGCCCTCGTATAACATAGCTTGTTTATTGCATATTATTTTATCCTTACTATCTACAACTTTCAATTATAATTTTAAGAATTCTTATGAATTTGTGGATTCTTCGGAGACAGTTTTGTTGCCTCCTGACTACATATTGGTATCCTTGGATGTAGTTTCCCTTTTTTCTAACATTCTAAATGGGTTGGTGATCGATATCGTCTTGAGAGCCAGTCATACATGATTTTTAGTTCGTTGTTAAGAGTATTCGATATTTCTCTAAAATCATCCCCTGCCACACATATAATAGGCTATCATCCGCAAATAAATTGATATATGATTTTTATAAGGTAAGATGATTTTATCCACTACAGGCAGTAAAAGTAAGTTGATTGGCCTAAATTCGGCTGGGGCCTTTGGTTTGGAAACCTCAGGTTTGGCAACTGTAACACTAGTTTTCAATTCCCCCGGTATTCTTCCTGTTCGCATTTACAATATAAAGAAGAGGGTAACCTATTACACAGAAGGGGTCCTCTATTGGCCCATTATACTTTCCGTAGTCAATATCAATGAAATCCGTCTGTCCTTTATTATTTCCTACTAGTTCCTTTAGTGTTCTCCACATCTTTTTCCCATCTCCTTTGCACCTGTCTATATTCTGATCATAGTGCTTTGTTTTTTCAGTGCGTAATAACGAAGTAACTCTGTTACGCTTGGTTTGATATTCTCTTCAATCTTCGTCAATTCTTGTCAAAATAAACTTTGTATATGATCTGTCTCTATTCCTTTGCGCCTCTTTAACTGTTCTTGTAATCAATGGATATTTTGTAACGATGTTATGCTTTTGTCTTGGAGCTATCTTATTCACTGCCCTTTGGATTATATTTATAAAATCCGAATAAATAACGTTCATATCTGTATAGAGGTGTAATTTCAGTTCGCTCCTATCAATTTTCTACGACTAAGTTAGAAATGTTATTACCATTTAAATTTTCTCTTGTAAATAAAATATTTTTTAACAGAGGTGTCCACAAATTCTAATTCCGTACCAACTAACTTTGCTGGCATTGAAATCGTTGGTAATAATGAGATCAATTATTAGTGTTGACGATTTATTAGTGATTCTTGTTTCACGATTTGTGTCTCTAGCTGCCACTATAATTTTTTTCAAATTTTTGGCATTCATAGGTATCTCCTAAAATCACTATTTTTAGCGGTTGAAAACTGTCCTCCTCAAGTTTTGTGCCCAAGTAATCTAAATACTCCCCACAGTTTTCATATGGGAATCTGTGGATGGCTCCCACCACCAAAGCATCCTCACTCACATGCTTATAAACAGTGCCCAATAGCTGTAATCAACGGCGTCATTGCAAATCACTGTCCAATTTAGAACCTTTTTCTATGTAAATAACGGTACCCCCAGTGTGTCTACTGTTCGAGAAGCAAAACACTGCGTTATAGCCAGGCACAATAATTTCTGGGGTAATGCGGGTTTCACTGACACAAACAATCAATGGGTCTCGACTCTGGAACAATTGTTTTACCTCGAGCATGTGTGATGTGAGTCCTTGGTTGTTCATATGCAAAATCAACTCTCTATTTATTGGTAAAGATGCGTTGGCTGTTTTTTGTTGGCTATACCAAAGAATATCTTGGGTCCTAGATTTAGCTCTTTCCTGTGCCCTTTGATAACAGACGCAGTCTCTATCAAAAACAGTGTGCCTAAAATCTATGTTTGGAATCCTCAGAGTCTCGTGAGCATATTTACAATAAGTGCATTACTTTACTGAAGATTTACAATCTCCACTTTTATGATCCTGTTTACATAATGGGCATAAACCTCTGGCTCTACTTTTAGGACTACGTTATACAATTGCTCACTCTTTGGTATGTATGTACTTTTTGACTAATTTAATTTCTGTATTTTCACCAAATGTCGGAAGGCATATTTGGTTTTTTACTCTCTGAATAAAGTCCTCCTCTGTATTCAAATATGCTTCCTGTATACCAACAATGATTACTTTAGGAACCCTATTTTTGGAATTTCTATCGTATAGTTATCAGAAAGTTCAGCGACCGCCTTGTTTTGCAGTTTTCGCAGGGATTTCCTATCATTGCACTCAATCACAATACTACCTTGGCCTGCCGGTTTAAATTTTTCTACTTGCACCGATAAAACCGAAGGTTTAATTTTTTGTGTGATGACGCTTTTTGTAGTAGCACTGCTTTGGCTGATATTTTTCGGTTTTATTATTAATGGTGGAAATTTTTTCTTTTTAACAATATTTGACCATTGATTTTCGCTTTTTTCTGTTGTTGATGTTGTAGTATCCAATTTGCTGAGAATTTCAGTGGTGGGTCTTTTCTTTTCCTTGGCTTCATCAACCAATATGATACAGTCATCACAATACCAGAACAAATTTGCACAATCATTAATAGTTTTATACAGTTGGTCTTTTAGCTGCGCACATTGAAAGTGCTAATTAAGACTACATACGCCGGCATCCTGACTACTTGCTTGTTTTGATGTTCCTTTTTTGAAATTATATGTGGATGATACATTAGCTGCTATCCCAAGAACTAAATTCAATAATGTCGAAAACGAGAATCATGAGAAATTACAATTTACACTGGAGTCTGAAAGTAATGACAGTATCCTGTTCCTTGATCTTATGGTGCATAGCACCGAAACTGGTACAATGTTGACTAATTGGTACATGAATCCTACTAGCTCTGGTCGACTTCTGAATTACTATTCATGCCATTCTTCTTTTCAAAAGGTAGCGACTATCACTAACTTGCTGTTTAGATCTCTTAACTTATCTGATGAATCATTTCATGAGAGTAACCTTATAAAGATCAAGTAACTGTTAAAAGATAATAATTATGTGACCAATTTCGTCAATAGGACGATCACTAGGTTTAAACAATGATTATGGAGTGTAATAATTATAACAATAGTGACGTACGTAACAACAAGAGATATTTTAAGTTTCCATTCATAGCAGTTTTATCTGATAAAATTCAAACTTGCCTTAACAAAGATGAGTGCAGTTTAGCTTTTTACAATAAAAAGACAGCTAATCAACTGTTCACAAAATTAAAGGATAAACTTCTTGTTGACTACGAATCTAATGTCATCTATGGTATCCCATGTAAAGATTGTGATAAGTTTTACATAGGTCAAACTAGACAATTGCTTAGGGAACGACTGAAACAGCTGATATTATTGTGATAGACGAAATAGAACAGATTCAACAGCCCTTAGCCTTCATCATCACACTACCAGCCATGAGTTTGACTTCTCTCAGCCAACAATTTTCGATAAAGGAGTCTGATTTCATAAAGAGGAATATCAGTGTAATGATCCATATCACTGTAAATGACTGAATTAATTTCAAAACTGATACTAATAATTTAAGCTCTTGTTATTGCGGAATTTTGAATAAATAATAATAATAAATAAATAAATAAATAGTGTTAAATAAGTGATAGGGGTGTTAAATGCATGAGACAACAATATCTCTCTATGAATTCATATCGGTTCTAACCTTCAGGGCAGATTATTGATTTGTACAGTGGACATATATTTTGTATATTGACTTTGTGTGTGATGTTATTAATCATAGGTGTTCCATATTACAATTCACTAATGCATTTTATGTTCTATAATGGCTACTTTAACATCCCTGTAACTCTTTAAGATTGGTGAGTGAGAAAAAAGAACTTATATTAAATAAAATCGTGGTTCTTGATAATAATTCATAGGGTTTTTATGGGTCAAAATAGCATTGAATAAATTAACAACATAGACACCTATTGCTTCGGTTCTCATGTATTCTCTGCACTGTAATTTTACGTTAATTTTGTTTGAGTATCTTGATGTAATTGCTGTTGCTCTTGATTGAACGATTTTTTATTGTATTTTTTTTTTTTTTGTTGTGTAATTTCATTTTACTTATTTAATATTTTTTTTCTATCGATGTGTTCTTCTCCATTTACAGATCCTTGAAAAAATTGGAATAAACAACAAAACGTTGAGAAATTGAATTGGAGTTTCACTAACTGCCTTGCCCTATCTCCCGCTATATATAATCTTCATTGCTATATCAGGGCGTTATAGGCATCAACTATTAAAAAAATATCGTTTCTTGAAACTCATAATAAAACTGGGAGGAAGGAATGGCAAATTTCGAAAGCTCTATTATATTATAATCATAGTATTTGGAATAAAAACTGTGGAAAAAAAATATGGCATTATGGCTTATTATGGAATTAATAGACAAATTCTCAATAATAAAATGAAAAATTAAGTCAAAATTGTGGAGAAGAATTCCATATAAATTTTCGAAGTTCTCAATAAAAATGTGAAACATTCATGCAAAAAAAAAACAAGTAAAAAAATACAAACAAAAAAACTTCATGGACTTTCAATAGGAACTGGAAAAAAGAATCCCAAGCATTTTTCTGGATCGTAAACTATTTGAAAATTCTAATGTGAATACTTAAGTCCATGTACTCTTTTAGGAGCCCAATCAAATAAAATCAAAACAAAAATCCATGCAATAACAAAAATCCCATTTGGCAGAAACAAAAAAAAAAAGTGCTCATCTAAACATGCCAAATCGCAAACCTGCGGTGAAGCTTGATAATATCTGTCGACTGGACGAGTTTGTACCATTAATGGTTGCTTATGAGCGCAACTTTTCACATTTTCACCACCGAAATCATACAAACTCTCTTCGATTGCCACAGTTGACTTATTTTCGTACATAGTCGGCTCCTGATGGTAAGTTGGAATGGATTCTAATGTATAATTGGGCTTGCGCTCTAAGGAATTGTAAGCGCTATAATTACGTCTCCTTTCAAGGGATTGAACTTTGGGTAAATCTTGTTGGGTAAAATGCAAATTTCCTGATTTGTCTAAAGAATGTGAGGTGTAGCTCAACGAAGGCTTCCGTTCTAAAGTTGACGTTTTCGAAGAAAAATTAGATTCAATTTCCTTTTTCTCAATCAAATCTTGCTTTAACAATGAATTTTTATCAACATACGAAGCTTTTTCCGCACTATCTAAACTTGACTCGTTAGGAACTTGCGGATCTAATTTTTTAAGACTCTGTATGGGAATGGGGCGAGTTTTTAGAACGGGATCGGGAATGTGTTCGTGGTTATCGAATTCTACAGCTACAGTATTAAATACCGATGCAGGAACAGTGTACATTGCAGGTGTGAGGCCTCTGTTTTCGTTTTCTTTCATTAGGTGCGCCAATACTTCCGGATTCTGGGCGACGATATAAGTCTGTGGAGCGTAGGTTGTGGATGGATTTTCCATTGATGATTCTAGAACTGAAAAAAAAAAGTTATAGCAAAATAATTTGTGGAGTTATCAGAGACAATAAGAATTGGAAATCCATGTATACATTGAAAGATTTCCGCATTGGTCTAAAATCTCATATAAACACTCAAGAATCAAATAGTGTCTTATTTACTTTAACAAAGTTAAACAGCCAAGTCCATCAAGTTACTATTTCCAAAATCTTACCTGGATGTCTTGATGGTTTCGGTGGCGGACTGACATCATCGGTAGAACTCCACGACATGGCAGCCAATCGTCTTGTTTCACGTCTCAAAGTATTCTGTTGACTGCTTCGTTCTTCCAACAAAATTTCTTGCAATATTTCCCTGATTTCTCTAAAAGCGGGCCGTTTGCTCGGCTCGTAAGCCCAACACTGCGACATTAACGAGTACAAGCGAGGCGGACAGCTTTCCGGCAAAGGCAGTCTTTCTCCGTTTTCAATTTTACCTATTACGTCGTTGTTTTTTACTCCTTGGAATGGTTTTACACCTAACATGAGGATTTCCCATATACATACTCCTAAAAAAAGTTAGATAATATTAAAGCAAAAACACAATTATTTTAATTTTTACCAAACATCCAAACGTCACTGGCAGTAGTAAATCTCCTAAAATTAATACTCTCAGGGCTCATCCATTTTATAGGCAATTTACCCTTAGAAGCCCTATAATAACTTTGATCGGAACCCATCCATCTGGACAATCCAAAGTCAGCTAATTTTACACAAGTTTCAGAACTTACTAATACATTTCTGGCAGCTATATCTCTATGCACATATTTTTTAGATTCTAAATAACTTAAAGCAGTAGATAGTTGAAATGCAAAATTCAATAAAGTTTCTAATTCTAATAAGGATTTGTTACTTTGTAAATAGGCCCTTAATTCTCCTAATTTTGCCAACTCCATTATTATCCATACTGGAGAATCACTACAGACACCGATCAGTTTAATTATATGAGGATGATCAAATTTTTGCATGATATCTAAAAATAAATATTTGACAATGTTAAATTTTATGCTAAATCCTTACAAGCTTCTTCAAGGAATTTTTCTGTAGTAGAAACATCAGCATCTTCTTTGCAAGTTTTAATAGCTACAGGTACAATACTGCCTTCTTTGGTCATAACAGTACCCTTATGAACATCTCCAAATTGGCCTTTACCCAAAATTATACCTAATTCAATGTGGTCTCGGTTAAGTTCATAATCTCTTACTGAAATAAATTTGTATTAACAAAAACTCTCATTTATACACTAAAAATAAAAATACCTGCAGGTACCGAATAATCTCCTTCCTCAATAATTTCAGCATAATCCTCAGAAAGTAATATGCCATCGCTTTTAGAAAATTTACCCTTTTTTTTAATATCTCTTTGAAACGTTTCTAAAATAATCAAAATCAAACAAAAAAACATACACACTGACCATTTTTACCAGAAATATTCCAAACAGGCTCGCCAATATCGGAATGTAATCTACAATAGCTATCAATTAAATTAGCTAGACTTTCAGCAATAGTAATGTTAGCACAAAGAAAACACAAAACTTCTTCGCTAGTAGCCAGTTTGAGTCTTAAAGCAATTTTCGATGTGCCTTTGCCCTCTTCGATTTGCAAGTTTTTAATATGCCTAAAATCTATTTTTCTTGTAGCGGTTGCTTGTATGCCAATCTCAGGACCAATGATCAATTCAATAGGTATAGTGAAACTTGTGCCGTAATCCACTTCGAATCTTTCCTGATCAAAATTAGTATGTTGTTTTAGGATTTCTAAGAATTGTAGCATACAATCTAGTTCGTTGGTAGTGCCCATTTTTTTAAATTGTGTTTGAATATACTTTTTTAATACTTTTGGTTTAAGTTTATCTAAAAACCCTTGAGGTACGAATTTCTGAAGTCCCACTTCTCTATCCAAATATTCTATGGTTGATTTTTTGTCTAAGCCCGTCGAAGACATGTCTTTTAGGTATTTCCTTATTTCTAAGCAACATAAATGTAATACTATGTCCTGGTCTAGTTTTGAATGTAATTCTGCATAATAATCACTCCGAACCTACAAAAACATAACAGTAATCGTGAGCTTTTGTTTGATAATTTCAAGATATTTACTTGTTCATAAAAAAACGTGAAAGTTACTTTATCCTTATTACAAAGCTCTCTAAAAGTCGGAGGTAGATGCCTTATCCTAAGTTCATAACGCCATTCGGCATTAGGGTGGTTTTGTAGATATCTATCGTGAATCTGCAGCATTGTAAGGTCTTTATGCAGCCAGTTAATCTGCAAATACAAATTGTTAGGTAATAACCAAAAATTCTTTGTTTGTAGATACCTCTTTAGTGGGAGGCCGTGCGAGCCGCATGGCAAATAGTCCGTTATAAAATCCATTTTCAGTCGAGAGTTTTTCTGTTACAGTTCCAATTAAACCCTTGATGTCTATACTGTCTGTATAACGGACTACGTTAAATCCACCATTTGGAAGATGGACCTGTATTAAAATCAAAAAAAAATCAATTAGGTATATTTATTCACAAAAATTAAAGATTGCAGACCTTAAAAATACATCGAATATTTGATGTATTGGAATTATTTGTAGGAACGCATTGAATAAATCAGTTTTCAATTTACCAAAACAATTTTTACTTTTTTAAATACACCTTTACTAAAACTATGGTTTATTAGGAACTGCAATACATGTTCATTATATTATTATTTACAAATGAAGATATGTATAACTGACTCTAAAAAACTGCCATCTCCCAATAGGGACTTGGAAGGGTGTTCTGAAAAACTACCTCAAACTGCGAATCTTATTCTAGTAGAGGACTACAAGCCCTGAAAAAATCAGCCCTTTAGCTCATTTTTTTTTTTTAAATCATCATTCATTACAATAATAGGTAATAACAAAATTTCTCTAAACAGTGCCCGTCAGCACTGGTCTTGAGAAAATAACCTCAGTTTTTATTTACCTTATGTCTAAGTAGTGCTTAAGTATTTTTACAAATATATTGAAATTTCTTATATTTTTAATTTCTCCAGGTAGGTAACCTATTATAGGATTTGGAAGCTCGAACTATTGGATTATTGAGACCTAATATTAGTTTTAGTTACAATTTGGTAAATATCACAGTTGGTTCTGGTATTATAGTGGTGCACATCATTTGATAATATAATATGAATATCGCTCTTCTGACTTGTTCCAATATTTTATGCATAAGTTTACCCTGCTCGAATACATATATTTTTTTTCAATTTTTCTGAGTACTTTTTCTCATAGATTTGAACTTCAAATCTCAGAATACTTTAGTGTATGGAAATTGCGGGGGTTCCGAATGATCATTTAGACACAAAATCTCAACATAAAAAAATTTGAAATGTCATCGTGTACTCCCGGGTTAAAGACAAAACCTCAACAAAACTGCGGCTTTTATAATTTTTCTAGATATTTTGGATAAGGCACCGTTACTATCTTAAGAGGGACTCAACAAGGTGTTCTAGAAAACGGCCTCAAAATGGTTTTGAAATTGGTATTGGATGAGGGATGAAATTGAATATATCAGAAAACTTCAAGGAAAACTTCATAAAAAGTGAGGTTTTGAATGTATTCTGTGTAAGTTAAGTACGTATAAAGAAAAAACACAATATAAAATATACAATTTGCACGCTAAATTATGTTCGGTTTCGGTAAGTATGTTAATGAAATGTGCACCGAAATATATAAATGCTCGATATTTTACGTTCAATATTAAATAAAAGCTTGCATTTTACAGTAATATGAGTGCTCAATATTTATATAATATATTCAGGAAAAATTTGGATTTGACACGACACTCAGAAAATTTTATATCGGGAATTCATTACATTTATTGAGAGTCCATTACTTTTATAGAATATTTAATTTCTTGTTATGCATTTAGATAACTGGAAAATGTTATATGCATTGAGGAATAAAATATCGAGTGTATGATTTGATTTGTACCCATTTATTATTTGTTATCATTCAATTTTGGAGAGTATGTGTGCAGGACTACCGAAGTTTGAATAGGTATAATGGATAAAAAGGATGAATTGTACAACCTCAATTTTTGGCTAAGATTTGTAGGAGTAAAGCGTTTTAACTTTTCAAAACATTCAGCATTTCAGGACTCAGCTGGTGATTTTTTAGCAGCAAGCTGACAAAAGTGAATTCTCAGCAAGAATATAATAAAAGAGATAATAATTAACAATATAAATGACTCAAATAATACATTTACAGTTTTGCATTTAAATGTTATGACACCTGCCGCCTTGGCTATGATTTTAAATCTGCTGATTACGCACAACTTAAAAATCATCTTAGTATGATGATGAACTGGGATGCTTTGCTTCAAGGCCCAAATGTAATAGAAATGGTCAGTATTTTTTACGACATTCTTTACACTGCTATTGACTACTTTGTACCAAAGAAAACGCTTTCCACCCATGAATTTTCTAAATGGTTCCCCTTTGACCTAAAGGAACTAATAATCAAAAAGAAAGAAGCATACAGAACCTTGAAGCCAACTGGTTCTCCAAGTGACTATGACAACTTTTCGAATCTTCGCACTCAGTGTAAGACTTTTTCAAAGGACTCGTATCTGAATTATGTGCAGCGCTCTGAAATATCACTGCTGAATGATCACAATCTCAAACACTTCTGGAGTTTTATCAATTCCAAGCGAAAAGCAAATGGTTTGCCGTCTCACATGTTTTATAATAGCAACATCGCGAAAAATGGTTCAGAGATAGCTAATCTCTTTGCTGAATACTTTCATTCTGTTAATTCCAACAAAATGTGTTGCTAGTCAGGCCATCTCTCGGAGCGATGCACATATTCATGAATTCAATATTTCAATATCAGTTATTTATGAAGAACTATGTGGCCTGCAGTCTTCTAAGGGTCCACGCCCAGACGGTGTCCCACCTCTAATGATCAAGAATTGTAGTTTTATATTATCCCATCCACTTTTCATCCTGTTCAATAAATCACTTAGTTTGGGTGAATTTCCTAAGCTCTGGAAACAGAGGTTCATTATACCCATTCATAAATTGGGTGATAAAATGGATATTTCAAAATACGGCCCATTAGCATCAAAAACACCTTCCCAAAGGTATTTGAAGGCATAGTGACAACGTTTTTAATTCCAAATATCAATCCCTGGCTAATTGAGCAGCAGGCCGGTTTCCGTCCAAAATGCTCAACTGAAACCAATCTCCTGTACTACCAGGACAAAGTTTCAAGGATTCTTGAGGATGGCGGATCGGTCCACTCCATATATACCGATCAACAACAACAACTTCTTCTCACACGCCATTGACATCCCGTCGGGCGTTCCACAGGGTGCTCACTTGGGACCTCTGCTTTTCTACCTTTTTATTAACGATATCAAGTCTTGTTTCATTGGCAGTGAGTTTCTGTGCTTTGCGGATGATTTAGAGGTGTTCACTCAGGTCTCTTTCATTGAAGACTGTGCCAGACTACAATCTGACCTTGACAGACTCTCTAAGTGGTGTGTTTTGAGCATGGAGCTCAATGCTTCAAAATGCAAAGCCATTATTTCTGCAAGGGTCGTAGCCTTCCACAATTCGCGTACCATATAAACAATGTGCCGCTCGAAACAGTCTGACAACAACGAGATCTTGGTGTCATCTTTTACAGCAGTCTCAATTTTATCGCCCATATTCTAAACATCACAAGGTCGTTAAAACTCGTAGGCTTCGTTAAGAGGTGTTCGAGAGACATTACAAGCATAGGTTCTATCAGATACCTTTATTGCTGAGTACTGCTCCTCTGTTTGGTCACCGATGTACTCTAATCATATCAGAGCCCTAGAGCTAGTGCAGCGCAAGTTCGTACGTTTTTTAGCCTTCAAGGCAGGTTTTCCTTCGCCTGAGAATTACGTATATGACTACAATGACCTATACAGGCGTTTCAATCTACAACCCTTAGCAGCTAGACGAAATGAAAGAGATTTGTATACTTTTTACAAGGTACCGAACTCCATTAGTGATTCCGCATACCTACCTACTGTCCAGAATAGGGCTTCAAGTCCCAGCAAGGGTCACCTGCTCTTCCATAACCTTCTCAGAAAGAAATCACCGTACAAACTATGGTTTCAATACATTCATCTCCAGAACTTCTCAGTTATGTAACAACCATGGTAGCTTGGATTTTTTTGGACCCATAAATAGCTTTAAAAGAGAGCTTAACTCTCTAATGTGATAGTAATTCTCCTCATTTGTTTGTGATACCAAGTTAAATAGCTAAGAATGTCTAGTCATCTTGATCAGTCATTATTTATGTCTGTCATCTTTTTTTTTTTTCTATCTATAACTTTTAAATTAATGTTTTACTGTTAATAAATGTATATGTACTGTTATCCTGTCACTACGCCAAATATTACTGGCCTATGTTTACCTAGTTGTAAGGTACTTATGTTTTCTTGTTGTTTTTTTTTTCAAAAATTTTTAATGGGTCTTGCCCGTAAATAAATAAATAAATGAATAAACAAATAATAGCTTTAACTCTAAAGCCATATGGATTGTAGTAACTGTGATTACAAAAGAACAAACATAAACCTATAAACCTAATGAATTTAATTTAAAAAAATTCTACAATAGCATCCGAATTCATAAAAGAGTTGCCTCCCTCCCAATTAACTCCTGAAAACTACACTAATCAATTTTCCTCTCAACTAATTTTTCCAGAGCATGAATTCGCATTTACTCGGATAACAATTATTGAATTGTGTGACATAATCAAGTCCTTTAACACGTTCACTGCCGAGTACGAGTTAACTCGTAGTTGACAATCTTATTACAGGTACCAGCTACAAGATAACTTGTATTTTGCATTGTGTTGTTCAAAGTCAAGTACGAGTATATTCGTTGTAACAGGCTAATGGGGGTGCCTGGCCTACGGGACATGTATAAGAGTTTCACACAGGCATGGTTGAAAAAAAAAAATTCAAACATGGTAGTCTTTGGTATGGTATGGTATGGTATTTTTTTGCAAAAATATGGGTCAGGTATAGTCCGACAAATACCATTTTAAAGTCACGTGATACTGGTGGCAAAAAACGTATGTCCATTGATTATGTCGTTGATATCACCTACAAAAAGCTACTGGTGGTTAATTACTATTGAATTTTAATATATGTTCCCACTAACATTTTACAAACGCGTTTCTGAAGTAGTATTGACCAATCAGAGGGCAATTTTAATACTTACAATTGTTGCGAGACTCACTTTTGTCGCATCTGTTGTCTGTTGTAATACATTCTGAACTTAAACTGGGTACCCGTTTTCTTTTTGCTTCTTTTCGAGTTGGAGAAAGGTTAATGTGGTCAAAATTATTAGCTGTGTTCGTTCGTTGTATTATTTTCGAAAATAACTTTGACAAACTAATTGATGACAGTGACGGATTCTATTTCAGGTAAGAATATTATGAACAATAATTAGACAGCAATT